ACTCTGATGTGGTGGTCGATCTGATTTGCTACCGCCGTTTCGGGCATAACGAAATCGATGAACCCTCCTTCACACAGCCAAAGATGTATCAGGTAACCCTACTAGTACTGGTTCAATATTGTTTTTTGTATTGTATTTTGCCATTTTTCCATAAGTTGGCACTTATACATTTGCAGCTCTTGTTCACTCTTCTTTTTTTTAAGCTGGCTGTGCTCGCGCATATATTTCTGTTAACTCATTGTCCAAATTCGTATGCTGTTTGTTGGAGGAAAGCTAATTAAGCTGGTTGTATAAAAGTTACGAGAGAAATGAAAGCCTCTGGACCTGTTCTCCTCCCCTCTCCTCTCTCCATGCTGAATATGCTTAGCGCATTGCTGGACCCTGATGAGCATTATTTGTGACAGGTCATTAAGAACCATCCCAGCTCATTGAAGCTTTATGAGCAGAAACTGCTAGGAACGGGTGAAGTCTCGAAAGAAGATGTCCAGAGGATCCATGACAAGGTGAACCGAATCTTGAATGAAGAGTTTGCAAAGAGCAAAGACTATGTTCCCAACAAGAGGGATTGGCTCTCAGCTTACTGGACCGGCTTTAAGTCACCAGAGCAAATATCACGTGTTCGCAACACTGGGTAAGAACACAGTCTTTGTTGATTTCACTTTATTGTCTTCTGTTCAGCTATTGGATGTTGAAAATGCCTTCTATGCAGGGTGAAGCCTGAGATACTGAAACGTGTAGGACAGGCAATTACTACACTGCCTGAAAACTTCAAACCACACAGAGCAGTGAAGAAGATTTTTGCCTTGCGTGCAGCTATGTTCGAGAGTGGTGAAGGAATTGATTGGGCTGTTGCAGAAGCCCTGGCCTTTGCAACACTTATAGTGGAAGGCAATCATGTTAGGCTAAGTGGACAGGATGTGGAAAGAGGAACTTTCAGCCATCGGCATGCAGTTCTGCATGATCAGGAAACTGGAGCAAAGTACTGCCCACTTGACCATGTTGCAATGAATCAAAGTGAGGAGCTGTTTACTGTTAGCAACAGGTAAGTTTGCTTATGGATGTACCAAATCTCTTATCTGTCATTTCAGTGAGAAGTTTTTTTCCCTTATGTTATGTATTACTCTGTTTGCAGTTCACTTTCAGAGTTTGCTGTTCTTGGGTTTGAATTGGGTTACTCCATGGAGAACCCTAATTCATTGGTTCTTTGGGAAGCACAATTTGGTGATTTTGCCAATGGTGCACAAGTGATGTTCGACCAGTTTTTGAGCAGCGGCGAGGCAAAATGGTTGCGGCAAACCGGCCTTGTTGTTCTGCTGCCTCATGGTTATGATGGCCAAGGTCCTGAGCATTCCAGTGCCCGCTTGGAGCGCTTCCTTCAGGTAATTCACAGGAGCCATGTTTTCGTTATTGGTGTTGTTCAGCCATCACATCAGTGGTGAGCAGTCCTTTTTTTTTTTGCATCCTTGTTCTATATATTTTAGTTGTTTTTTATCCAACTATTTTTGAAAGAAACCATGTAATTTTTGTGCATCCATACAAATCATGTTTGGCAAAGTCATCCCATGCGGGTCTACAGTATTATAAATTCTCTTATGTGAGATGTTTGTTTTTCTCTTGAAACCATTTTGATAAGAAATGATGCAGTTTTAAACTTTTAATGCATCCACACAATTCTTTTTTGTATGGCAATCAATAGTCATGCCATGCAAGTGTACAGTAAATTCATTTCCTTTTGGTAATGATTCAGATCCTCTGCTTGTCTGGAGACTAGAACTTGAGTTTAACTGCTTACTTGAGACTGCTATAATGATTGTTTTGCGCCAGATGAGTGATGATAATCCTTTTGTCATACCTGAGATGGAACCAACACTTCGCAAGCAGATACAAGAGTGTAACTGGCAAGTTGTGAATGTGACAACTCCTGCAAATTATTTTCATTTGTTGCGTCGGCAGGTCAGCTTATCTTATTGTGCGTTTTGTTTTTCTGATTCTAGCGTTTGGTTTGCAGTTTGCTCACATGTTATATTCCTAATATTGTTGCCTACTGTTGGGGTGGGGCTGTAGATACATAGGGAGTTCCGGAAGCCACTGATTGTAACAGCTCCTAAGAACCTGCTTAGGCACAAGGATTGCAAGTCAAATCTTTCAGAGTTTGATGATGTTGAAGGCCATCTAGGATTTGATAAGCAGGGAACACGTTTCAAGCGATTGATAAAGGACCGTAATGATCACAAGCAAGTCGAGGAGGGTATCAACCGTCTTATCTTATGTTCTGGGAAAGTAAGTATGCCTGTTTCTGAATCAAATCAAACAAATTAGTGGTTGGGGACAATATGAACAATTTGTTGCATTGCAGGTTTACTATGAACTTGACGAAGAGCGTAAGAAGTCTGAGCGTGGTGATGTTGCAATTTGCAGAGTTGAGCAACTTTGCCCATTCCCCTATGACCTTATCCAAAGAGAGCTGAAGCGATACCCAAGTACGTGAGGTTTTCCTTGAGTATTTAACCCTTTACTTTTTAATATTTTCCCTAAACGATAGTTTCCATTATCAAAGATGTTATGGAGCTCTGTTTATTCCGAACACATTATGAACTGTTCTTGACTGTCATGTTTGAACGATGTAGATGCGGAGATTGTGTGGTGCCAGGAGGAGCCCATGAACATGGGTGCATACAGCTACATCTCTCCTCGGTTGTTTACTGCCATGAAGGCTCTTGGGCGGGGTTCGTTTGAAGACATCAAGTATGTGGGCAGAGCACCTTCAGCTGCTACAGCAACAGGCTTCCTGTCGGTTCATGTGCAGGAGCAGTCAGAGCTAGTGAAGAAGGCACTGCAGCCAGAGCCGATCAAATTCCCCTGATGCTATGCACCTGCGTATATCTTAAAACAACATGCGAAATAACAGGACCGTTTGCACTTTGCAGGAGGCTCAACATGCCAAACCTGCGTTTTTCTAAAGTTTTGCCCTGTACGAGCTTTTTCGAGTTCCAGTTTTGAGGCTTTTCTGCGTTAGAAACAATGACGCGTTATGAAGAAATGGAGCGGTGTAAGAACCATAAATCCTTTGTTTTGCAAACTCTGCTTTTCATCTGGCTTTTCCGATGCTGCACACATCGCAAGATGCTTTTTTGGGTGGGGTTCTCGTGCATGTTCGCAAGGATAAGCATGGCAGTTAGGCCGTTCCCAGTGGTCAATTTTATTTCATTGTTCCAAGAGTGCCATGTCTATTTGTCTAAGGTGAAAAAATAGGACACCCCGATACGTGGACGCGTTTCATCATCGTAGGCTTAACATAGCATATACTCCGTATGTTGCAATTATGAAACGAAACATTTCCAATGGAGTTTCATGGTAAGTCATGACGCAAAGTCAATTTTCTCGCAACTGACTGGCGCGGCCATTGACCCTTGGCTGAATTTGTTGCCACCACTCAACGAATTAGACACTAGGTAATCAAGATGATAAAACAAGGGAGACCAACAAGAAAACAAAAGCAGCTGATAAACTTGCTAAACAGGCAACACAAACTGGCAAGACAGACAAACTGGCAACACGGGAGTAACAAAGTTCAGCTTCTGACCCTTAATCATAGATATTATGCACAAAGGTTACAGAACTTTGCCTGCAGTATTCTTCCGCGGAAAAAATACACAAAAATTTGCCTGCAGTGCATATCATCCCCAGGCTCGACAAACAACTTTTGGCCAAAAGCCAGTTCACGATGATGCAAAAACGTAAAACCCCACATATGAACAGCGCCCACATAACCACAAATATACACGTATCAACAGGTGACACGGTACAGTGCAACGCAAGATCAACTAAGTGCAATTAAATTGGAAACGGTTACAAGCAATACGCCAGGAACGCCAGGCCAGGAACCTGTACATAATACCAGGTGCTTTGAATAAACACATGCTTCCTTCATCTGTCTCTGTGACTGCTCCACTCACTGAGGCGGTGCTGCATTTGCATCCAGTGTGTTGTAGGTGCAATCGCTCGTGTTCAAGCCATACTGGATGGCAGCAAAAATGTGTGAGTTAGTTACTAGTCCATCAGAATAGATAGAGAGAAAGATAATCATTTTCCGGGCAAGCAATAATTTTCTGTAGCCCGTGAAAAGAGAAATTGAGTGTAACACCTCAGATCTAACGAATTATCTTTGGACATCATAGCATTTTCATTGGCTAGTGATAGAGTGGATATATAATCCAACACAGGTAAAGTAACACCAAGGGAATGATAACAAACTGCACGCGACAAGTCACAGTAGTAGTGCATCAACAGACCAATCGTCAATAAAATTCTTCTGCAAAAGAAGCTGAGAGTATGCTCGCTTAAAAAGGGGGGAGAGAGTGTGGGACGGAGTTCTTCCCTCCCCACTCTGCCATCCCTGCCTCACCGCCACAAAAAGGAGAGGGAGGATGGAAGGTAGGGAGAGGATGAAAATCAGCATTGTGTCCAAAACAGCTATTTAATCATCCCTGTGATTGTAAAACTTCATCCACCGATGAAATTCTATCTGCCCCCACCTTTACTCAAATGTTACTATGTCTCACTAGGAATCTGACCAGCCCTGTGAAGCTGCGGATCTAGTTCTACAATGGGTGCACTCTATCGTGTGGTGCTGTGTGTCAGTGTGTTTAAATTGCAGTATTGCACATGGTCATGGAGTTAGACAAACCAATGAACTGATGCCCTGTAGAGAAGCACGAGCACTTTGACTGCAAAGACAAGCTTGACTTCTGGTTCTATTTTTATTTTGTATCCCATGCTAATAATGACTAGTAGGGTAGACATCTAGTCAATAATGAAGGTGGATGATAAGGAAACTTTCGTAGTTCGGATATATAGAGATTTGAAGAGCGGATAAATGGAATGTGAACTATCATAGATAATGAAGTGGAGCTACTTCTTTTGCTTGAGAAAAAAAGAACTTGCAGAATACAACTATAAACTCCTCATCAAACTTGAGACATCTAGTTGGTAAAGAACTCTCAGAACTGTATAGAAAATCAACAACGGTGTTTATCACAGGACAACTAAGCCCGACAACTATAACTACGTCAAGAAAATGAGGATTAAGATGTCATGTGCAACAGCTGTTAGATTATTATGCGGTTACTAGTAGATTAGTTTCCATACATCTATTGACTTGATTAGAGATGAGCTGGCCTCTTTCACGATGTTGAAGGATTATTTGGTTGTTAGGTATCCTCTGTATATAGTCTACACGGGGGGGGGTGTATAGTATCTCGTGGAACAATAAAGCGAAATGAATTAGCCAGAGTCGTCAAGCTTCTCCAAGTCAGTGTGGTGGGACGAGACTAGATGAGAAGGTGATGTTCAGCTTGCCGCGTCTCTGGTGTTAGTTCATTCCTGTTTCTGTGGTATATATAATCCAAAAGATAGTGTTGAAGTGGGAGACAGCTGTCACCTTGTGTCTCATTGTTGAGCTCCAGAGGTCAGGACGGGCACCTCTGGTATCAAGGGTGGTAGGGAGGTAAGGTGCTGGAGCTTGGGCAACTAGGAGTGGCCTCCGTATAACCACAAAGTCTTCATCGCTGTCATAGTCCACGGTCCGGGCAGACAGCATGGCCCGTAAAATCATAGCCAGGAGAAGTGAGAGTGCCTGAAGATGAATGAAACATGGCAAAAGAAGACGGTTTGTAATTACAAAACATGCTGACATACATATAATGAATGCAACAAGAACATGCATTCAGTACTGACTAGTGAGTATGGATGGTAATAGGAATACTCTTATATTACATAATAAAGTGGAAGAATCTAGCTGAAAGAGAATAATTGAAGGGGATGAGGTGACCTGCGTGGCGAAGATGGCAAGAGCAGCCCATTTGCATAGGTCGAGGTTATTATGGATGAAGGAGAGTAAGTTGTGGAGCTCTCCCGTGCGGTCCTCTGGCAGGTCCTGATTGATGATGAGTATTAGAGTACATATACGGAGTGAGCAAGTAAGAAAGAAAAAAAATTGAGATTTGTTAAAAAAAGAAAAAGAAATTGAATGAATGGAACCTGAATCCAGTGCTGGTTGAGCGCGAGATGGGCGGCGAGAGCGGCTTCGAGCAGCATCATAGCCATGGCCGGGATGGTGTACTGTCGAGGGGAGTTTGCAAATCCAAAAGTAATATAAATAAATAAATAACCTAAAAATGAGAAAAGAAGAAAGTGTATGTAGTATTGCAGACGTACGAAGCAGAGGCAGCATCCGGTGTTGATCTCGGCTGCCAGGTAACCCGCGAGGAGCAGGAGGCAGTAGAAGAGCCCCGCCGCCATGACGAGCGACGGGAACCAGAGGTCCGGGCTTAGGAGGTCGCTGGGGTGGAGCTGGTGGTGGCGCGCCCAGCGCGAGAGCATCCATGCCGCGTAGAGGAGGGCGGAGACGGCGGCGAAGGCCTGGAGGAAGGCGAGCAGCTTGAGCAGGAAGCCGAGGCAGCACGCAGGCCAGCCCAGGCTCCGGCTCCGGCCCAGGCCGCCTTCTCTGCTCCGGCGACGCACCATCGGATCTGATTCGCCGATTTATCGGTGTCGCTGCAACTGCAACCTCCCCTCGCCGACCGACTACCCCAGCAGCCAGCAGATCTGGATCTCTCTTGTTTGGATTGGAACTGGATTTCTCTTCTCTTCTCTTGTCTTCTCTTCGTTTGGAAGAGCAACTGGAATTGGAAGAGTGGCTGGGTTGAAGCAAGGAACGCAACGCGCTGATGAGGATGAGGATGAGGATGAGATGAGATGATGGAATCGGGCGGCTGCTCTGCCTAGAAATAATTGGAATTTTGCCGTAGGAAACGTGGGCTTCGCTTGTTTCCCATCCTCCTGTAAAAAGAATTTACTCGTTTGCCATTATAAAATTATAAAATTGGACACACTTGCTGATTATCCGCCCACCATGCCAGCATGACCTTGCCCCTGCTTCTTCTTCAACGGCAGAGGCAGAGGAGCTTGCCCAAGCGCCCAAGCGGCGGCTGGACCTGGAGAGCCGCCATGACATGCCTGCTCCTCCCCGTCTCCGTCCCTGTCCCAGTCCCCATCTCCGCTAGCATTGTGCTGCCGTCGTCGTCTAGTACTGGTACTAGTACCGCGTGGCGCCGAGGCCTCCGCGTCCGCGTCGCTGTGCCCGCCACGCAAGGACAAGAAGGACATCACTATCCAAATTCCCCCTGTGCCATCAAGAACATTTGGGCAATGCCCTGCATCTCCTACTTTATGGCAGGATGATTCGCGAAGCTCAAGCTCACCCCAACCTCTTCCACTTCCTCCGGGCTCCCCATGCCTGCCTTCCCGTTCTCTACAGTGGAAGAAGGGATTCAACAGGTACTTTGATTTTGAAGCATTGTGTTTTTCTCACATTTCTTCGGATGAGTAATATTCGTTTCGTTTTAACACCATACAGACTCAGGCCCGTTTAGATCCAAAAAATTTTGGATTTTGGCTACTGTAGCACTTTCGTTTTTATTTAACAATTAGTGTCTAATTATGGACTAATTAGGTTCGAAAGTTTCGTCTCGCGATTTCTCACCCAACTGTGCAATTAGTTTTTTTTTCATCTACATTTATTATTCCATGCATGCGCCGCAAAATTCGATGTGACGAATACTGCGCAAAATTTTTTGAGTTTTGGGGCATCTAAACGGGGCCTCATATTCAAAATATATGCTATGCAGTGAAGGCGGTCAAATGTGTGCAATTAAAGAGGTTAAGGTCATTTCCGATGATTCTAACTCAAGAGAGTGCCTCAGACAGCTAAATCAGGTGATTATATACTATTAAAATATTGTACATATCGGCATCAATGTTGTAGAACAAACTGTATTTCCTTCTTGTACTGACACTAGCTGCTATGTACAGGAAATCATGCTGCTGAGAGCTGTCACATCCAAACATTGTTCAGCACTATGGCAGTGATTTGGTAATTACTGAATTAACAGTGATCTTATGTGATTACATAATAATCCATCATAACACTCATAAGCGGTGCAATTACAGCCTTGAAATTAAGCATTGATACAACGGTCATATTAATATGTGTTTTATGCTACAATGCAGTGCAATGAGACACTCTCGGTCTATCTCGAGTATGTTTCTGGGGGCTCTATCCATAAGTTGCTTCAAGAATATGGTGCATTTGGGGAGGCAGTTCTTCGGAATTACACAGCACAAATCCTTTCTGGCCTTGCATACTTGCATGGGCGGAATACACTGCATAGGTATTTGGCAGTCATTACCATCATCAATATATAAGATATGGTTGTCATTTACTCTTTTGTAGAACTCCATGTCAGTCTTAGTGTCTTTACTTATTAATGAAAGTTTACTTTTCTGACAGTGCAGCTCCTCTGTACACATCTCCTCTGTATGTCAGAGTCTTCTCCTCAACACCGAAGCTCCAGAGATGACCGTGCAGCTCCAACACACCCTTTGCATCTTCATTCTTTTTCTTGATCACAACATCTTTGCCATTGTGATTGGCAGCATCAAAGTCCCGGACATTCCTGCCTCCCTTGCCAGAAATGCACTTGCCGACATGCACCTCCATGTCCCGGACGGTGACATAGAGGTAGAAGAGGAACAGCGTGTACATGCACCTGGAGGAATGGCCCAGGCTCTTGGCCGGAGGCGGCGGTTCTGCTAGTTTCTTAAACGGTGTCGGGCACATCCAGGACGGCGACGAGGACGTCGCTGTCTCCGACAGGAAGACAGGCGGACGCGATCTGCTTGGCCATCTGGGTCGCCGGGGACGGGGTGTCCAGGGACGCCATGTCGGCCTAGAGATCCCCGAGCACCGCCTCGAGCGCGCCCCGCCAGACGTGGTGCTGCGTCACCTGCGGGCAGACGGTGAGCTGTACGCTCTTCCTCCGCTGCGCCATTACGCCGAGCACGTCGCAGACCTGCGTCAGCGAGCTCAGCGACGTCGCCTCCATCTTCTGCCGTTGAAGAAGAAGCAGGGGCAAAACGGTCATGCTGACATGGTGGGCGGATAAAAGGGCATTCTAAGCAGTGTGTCCAGTTTTATAATATCAAACGAGCGAATCCCTTTTACGGAATAGCAAACCAGCGAATCCCATGTTTCATAATAGCAAAATTTCAATTATCTCCTCTGCTTGCGCTTGCTTGTCCAGGCCAGGTCGGCATGGGATGCGTTGACTCCCTCCCTCCCTCCTTCCTTGGTAGCGCGGCTTCTGTTCTGCTCGTTCGTTCACGGCCCGGCCCATAACCAATCGAGCCCAGGACAGGAGGGTTGGTCCAATCGTCCTTTTTTAGTTCCTCTCCTCGATGGGGATGCATCAGATCAGATCGATCATGATCATGTTGTGCTTGCGCGCCCAAATCCAAGGCCAGCACGGCGCAATCTATCCACCGTTCCGTTGATCCTCCGTTCCATGCAAATGCACCGCACCAAACCGAGATTATGTGCTCCGCACGCACATAATAATCAGTCTGACAGTCTCTCTACGTCTCTCCAGCCAGTGCCAGCCTGTCCAGTCTCCATCTCATCTCAACAATGCAGCAGCAGCAGCCGCCGCCGGCGAATGACCACCAGGCGGAGGTGGAGGCGGTGGCTATGCTGTGCCTGCAGGCGCAGCAGGTGGCCGCCCTGCCCGACGCCACAGAGGGCCGCCGCATCCAGCTGAGTACCACCTGTACTCCTGCTCCTGCTCCTGCTGCGGCAGTGTGCAGGGCGGGCGTGGCAGACTTCCACCGTCAGGTGCTCCTCCTGCACTGCGCACCCGTCAACAGCATTGACGCCGTCGCGGTCACGGTCACCATGGCCGCCACCTGCAACGACCAGCAGCACCCCGCCGCCGCTCGTATTATTGCCAGTGTCAACGTTGATCTGGCGGAGCAGCTGCGTCGTCCCTGTCCCTCCCCCAGCGTCCTCAGCTTCGTGCTCGGCGTCGGCGGCACTACCGCTACCACTACAGCAGCTGTCGCGGGTGCCGTGCTCTCTCTCACTCTGCATCACAGGCGGCTGGTCACCACCACAGGGACAGGCTGCAGCCTGCTGCGCAGCTGCCTGCGGCTGCCCCTCCCCCTCGCGGGCTGCTGCCCACCAGTGCTGCGGACGACGATGAAGCATAATCGTCAGCATCAGGGCCCAGCTGAGGTTGCGGACGACGGCGGCGACGGCGACGGCGATGGTGACTCCTCGTCCTCTGGCTTCATCACCATCGAGAAGGGCACCATCTCCAGGCGGCGCCCGCCGTCAGACTACCTGCTCACCACCGACGACGACGAGGTGGACGGCAAGCGGCCGCCGGGGGCCCCCACCACGACCACCACCTGCTGCTGGTCCTTGTCGTCCTTGGACGACGACACCAAAGTGGAGAACGACTTCCTGGCCATGCTAATGCTGGAAGACGACGACGACGACGATGACTTGGTGGACCAGCTGGACGCGCTCATCAAGGACGCCGAGGCCGACCTCCCTGTCATATGGCCAAGCCGCGGATGATTGACGATCAAGGAGCTCCATCAGCTAGCTATCTGCCTCCACGTGCCACGTGTGCCTATATATTATATGATCAATCAATACTAATCCCATCATAATTCCCCATTCCCAACAGCTAGCAAGAGTTTTACTCGCTCCTAGAAACCAACACGATCGAGCACACAGCAACGCAAGCTCTCCTCGATTGAAGGAGCGAGAAAATGGTAAAAAGGAGTAGCTAGCATTGCACGTGTCTCAACTCTCAGCAATCTAGAACTGGATCGGATGATCGATATGATCGGAGTAGGAGTGTACTATATTAGTATACTATATCATTCCATCCCATTACCCCATATGGAGAGGTGGCAATAGATTAATTAGTATCTAAATCCAAACGAAAACACCGCAATCAGTGTGTTTTTTTGACATGGTTTCTCCTATCTTTTCTCGAGTCCTATTACTTATATCGCTAGAGAAGAACTTTATGATTATGCTTGGGCTAGGGCTAGAGACATTTTCAATTCCTTCCTCCTCGACCTTGCGATATATTCTGGATAGCAGAAAATTGGAGATTTTGTGTAACTCATGTTGTTTTCCTACATTCAAAAGACGTGATTTGTAATGTGTATTCTTCAGGGGATATGTGTTGTGGCCTGTGGGAGTGTTTATAAGGGCTCTTGTCCATTTTCATTCTTCTTAATATCATTTTATGATACACAAGTCTCGCTCATGTGTGATCAAGAAAAGTTGATACAGATTCAAATACTAGAGGTTCATCACGTGGGGCTAACTGATTAGTTGCTTTATCTAGCTAGATTTATTTTCATGTCAAGGGCTTCTCTCACGGCCGATGCATATGCTAACGTGGCATCCAGACTCTCCATCATGGGAGAACTTGCCTTGTGCTGATGAAAGAGAAGAACAAATCCATATATGAGAGTTCCGCTTGGAAAATAAGAAAGATGGAGCGGCCCCATTTGTTGGAAGCCTAGTGCACCACCGACGACCCATCACCATTGATGTTGTTGCTTACCTCATATCCGAGCTTGATTGCCTAACTTGTTGTTACAGTCATTGCCAATTGTTGTTGAGGTAATGTCTACACGTCAAAATTCTGAACCAGGGCATCGGGTGATCCAATGAGCATGGATCTTCACGCGTGGCCCACAGTGGACCCGGATCAACGGCTAGTCTAAGCGCACACGCAATCTCCTGCATGGGAGAAAGGACAACGACATTTTTGCATCATGGTAATACACGCAAGCGTGAGGACGATAATTGTTGGATAGTGCAGTAGCGGCGAGAACAAACACGGCTAATGAGTGGCGACAGGCTGAAGTAGTTGGGGGCTGTGCATAATTTTTTTATTATTTTTATGTGGGTCTGAATCTTTTTGACCTAGAATTGACCGAGAGACAAAAGATTCTCAAAGATTTTTTAAAATAAATTTCAAAGGAAATGAATCATAATGTTTAGATTGAAGGAAAATCAAGTTCCTTCCCAGAGGAAAACAAAATCAGAGTAGTGCAAAATTTAGAAAATAAAGAATCTTTGCTCTATCTCTCGCTATGTTTGCTCATGTTCCTTTAATTTTTTCCCCTCAATTCCAAACATCTCAAAGTATCAATTTCTATGTTTTAGGATCCTAATAGTTTTTTCACTATTAACTCATATCTTATTTCTATATATTTTTTTCTATTCCTCTATTTTGTATTTTTCCCAAACAGACCCAAATATTATCGACTCAGAGTTATGGATGCAGCTCAGGGAAAGGTAAATGCACAAATGTAAATGCAGAATTTTTATACTGAAGAAGGACCAAAACGTAATTTGTCTGGGTAACGGGTGAGCTCGAGCAGGAATGGAGGCTGTTACTGTGTTTCCAATTCCAATTCCATGTTCCGGTTCGGCGATGCAGCTCATCAATTCCGTTTCCAGCTCCAGATCGGAGTAAATCTGCTTCTGATCGGATTCGATTGGATTTGATTCCGGCTGTGTCGAACCCTAGCTTCCATCTCGATCCAATCCCAGTTCCACTTCTTCTTCCTCCTCCTCGGCAGCAGAGGCGGCCGTCGTCGAATGAGTTGAAGATGACGGCATACTCCTAGGAAAGGTCAGGGAAAGGAAGGATTCGAGGGAAGAGAGGAGGCTGTTGGGCTCCTCCTCCATGGAGGGCGAGGCGGACGGCGGCGGCGACTCCTTCGTGCTGTGCTCCGGCGTCCGCGCGGGCCTCAAGCGCGAATTCGCCTTCGCCATCGCCTCGCAGGCCGCCCTTTCGGCCTCATCCGCACCCCTCGGCCGCACCCGCCGCTCATCCCGCACCCTCAACTCATCGGCCGCTTCGACCTCCTCCGCCGCCGCCTCGACATCCTCCTTCTCAACCCCCGACACCAAGCCAAAGGCCAAGCGCCCTCGCCCACCAGATCCTCTCCCTCCCCCTCCCCCTCCACCAGAGGATGCCCCCGCCCCCGCAGAAGACCATGAGGGGGCCGCTGTCGAGCTGCCCGGCCCCGTGCTCGCCTTGATGGCTGCCGCTGGGCCCAGCCCTCCGCCGACGCCTTCGACTCCGCAACCCCATGCCGACGCGGATGCGGATCCGGTACACCGCGACAACATCATCATCCCGCCGGAGTCGTCGCCCAGGCGCATCACGCGCTCCATGCTCCAGCCCAAGTCTCCCCCTCCTACCGCCGCTCGTTCTCCTGACAATGCGGCTCCGCTCAAACCCAAACCGGAACCGCCGGAGGAAGAGGAGGATGGCAAGCCCGTTCCAACGTTGAGGCGCTTCACCAGATCACTCTTGGTCAAGGATAAGGACAGCAACGACGACGACCTCTCAGGCACCACCACCGCCAGCAATGCCTCCTCCTCCCCTTCGCCCAACACCACCACCACCACAAGTACCAGCAGCAGCAAGAGGAATAAGAATACAAACAAGATTCCCACCAACCTCAGGGAGCTGCTTGCCACCGGCCTGCTTGAAGGTCAGCCCGTCAAGTACATCATGAGGAAAGGCAAGGTATGTATGTCGCCATACTTTCTCTATTTACTGACCCACTGTTAAATCATAAATCTGTTCCCTTCACACTTCTTTCTTACTAAGAAATGTGAGCAAAAATAAATTGTAATGAAAAAATAATCTACAATATATTGCACGTTTCTTAATGATGATTTCATTTCATACACTTGTCAAGGTGTCAGGTGCATCGAAGTAATAAGACACAATGCTGGATAGGTTAGTATTCCCTTCGTTCCAAATTGTAAGCCATTCCTTCTTTTCTAGATACATAGTTTTTGCAATTTGGAACGGAGGGAGTATAAAATAACAAAACAAAACAAGTGCTTCGTCACTTCTGTGATATAAGCATGGCCCACAAAAAAAAGAAAAACATGATGCATTATGGTGAATGTAAGATATGATCTCTATTTGCTGCTTTGGATTGGATGCTAAGATATCATACCATGCACTTGCATTTTCCATGTCTTATTCTGTGGTCAGTATTGTGGTTACTGTAATTTTGACCAGGGATCTATTTCTCATCTTATTTCAGCGAGCAGTACTCCGTGGAGTTATCAAACACATCGGCATATTGTGCTCATGCTCTTCATGCAAAGGCCGAAAAGTGAGTTTTCTCCTCTTCTCCAAAATCACCACCTATTTATCCCTGCTTTGAGAATTGAACCAATGGAACATGAGTTGCAGGTTGTTTCACCTTACTACTTTGAGGTGCATGCTGGGAGTACCAAAAAGCACCCATCCGACTACATTTTCCTGGAAAATGGAAATAATCTGCATGATGTATTGAGGGCATGCACAAATGCTACGTTAGACATGCTGGAGTCTGCAGTACGGAAGGCAATAGGCCCAGCACCTCAGAAGAGAACATTCAGATGCAAAGGCTGCAAAAGTTTGTTGTTCCTCCCCTCATCCCTACATTGCTCGGCTTTGTTAATTGCTCAGATGTTGATATATATAATATTTCAGGTTCATTCAGCACACTCCGCAGTGGGAAATTTGCTTTGTTTTGTGATTCATGTCTTGATTCCAAGGGTGCTAAGAATAATAGCAGGTAACCTTTGTAACAGATGTGTCCATTCCATTTTTCATCACATCGAAATATTTTCCTGGGGTTCCAAACCATTGTTTGCTTGCCTGCTTTTATTTTAGGTCGTCCAAAGTTGGACGAAGTCCAACTTCATCTGCCAAGGTATATAAGAGTGCCTCACCAGGAGCAAAGTCTTCAAGTGTAGGAAGGCTTACAAGAAAGTAGGTATTGTCGTTTATGATAAGCATCCTTATCCTTGAATTTCTCACCTCTCATTGATCCCCTTTTTGTTATTTTATGAAAAAAGGGATAAGGGGATGCATAAGGTTGTTTTCATGAGTGGCGTTTTACCAGAGGGCACTGATGTTGGCTACTATGTTGGTGGAAAGGTCATTTTCTTATTTTTCTCTCAAATTACTGTTTTCAGCCAGTAGAAATGTTCTTTTATTGACACTTGAAGTGAAATCTCTAGAGGTTACTGGATGGATATATAAAGGCATTTGGGATCTACTGTCATTGCTGCAGCACAGTGGTAAGTTGGTAGTCCCTTTCAATGGAATGTAACACAACTCAACTGATAAGTCAGTCTAATCTAATTCAGTTTGTTTAATTCAATGAACAGGTTAGTCCTTCACAGTTTGAAGCTCATGCTGGTCGAGCTGCCCGACGCAAACCGTGAGTCTATTCTTGCTGTTTATTTTTTGCAGTTTATTGTTTTTTTTTTGTTTTTTTTTGTATAGAGTACAATTCAAACTCTAATACCTTCCACAAACACTATTGTAGTTACCACAACATATATATGTCGAACGGCGTTTCACTACACGAGCTGTCAATTTCACTCTTGAAAGGTCAAAAGATGTCAAACAGACAAAGTGATGACTTGTGCAGCATTTGTTCAGATGGTGGGCAACTACTGCTTTGCTATACCTGTCCAAGAGCTTTTCACAGAGGTAATGATGTTATGCATAGTCAATATGAGATGGTGCCTCTTTGCTTCCTGCTTAATTAAGCTACCTTTTGTTTAGGATATGTGTCTGTTTAAATATATGTTTTCTTGTGGAAGCTGAATCTATTGTATATAGCGATTTTACTAATGCTTAAAATCCAGGTTTCAGACCTGAAACTTACCAAAATCATGTCATAACACTAAGTTGGATTTGTAGTCTACATGGGGTTTCTTGTTGTGTTATATTTTTCTTTAAATTACAATGCTGCATTTTTATTTTTACACTTGTGCGCTTAACTGTTTCTTATTGTCGTCTTGCAGTTCTTATTTCTAACGTCTGGTGTTTAATCAAGAACTCTGTTTCATACATTTCTTTTGGTGAACTCCTTTGAACAGGGTCACATTTCTTAGTTTTCATTAATGTGTGTTGTATTCCCTCCCTATTTATCTCTTGTAGAATGTGTTAGCTTGTCTTCTGCCCCGAAGGGAACTTGGTGTTGCCGATATTGTGAGAATAGACAACAGAGGGAAAGTTGTTTGGCATATAACAACAATGCAATAGCTGCTGGGAGGGTTGAAGGAGTTGATGCCTTGGAACAAATATTCACACGATCAATACGTATTGTTACAACACCTGAGACTGGATTTGGTGGTTGCGCACTGTGCAAGTAAGTGTTCTTCCATGGCATGGTGCTTGTATATCCACTCTGGCCTACTTTTCTTTTACACTAATCATAAAATACATGTACTTCCAATCTTACCTAAAACATTTCGTACACCAGCAGAGCAAATTTGCCAAACTTCTCATCAAGTAGTGGTATTTGTTGTATAGGCTGGTTAAGGAAGCTAAAGCTCAATGTCCTAGTGCTTAATCTCTTTACTAGTTTCGAACTCTCTGATTACTTTTGCATAAATGTTACTTTCATTAATCTTGCTTTAAGCTTTATTTGCCCTAGTTAATTCTGTGTTAGCACTAGTCATGGTCGTTTATGGGTGTTTAGCGCTAAGTATTTACCAGTTTGTGAAAGTCGTATCATTGGTACCTTTTTATCAAAAAGAAGGTTACAAATTGTTTTCGTTTAATGCCAACTTGCCAAGTGCCACGAGATTTCTTCGAAACTTGGAGTGCCATAACATTAGGTCCACTATTTGGTATACAACTTTTGTTATTTATATATGCTTCTATTCGATGCTCTGAAGTTCCCAATGGTCTTCCCTTTCACAAATATATATAATGCATGGAGATTTTCTGTTTGAATTATTTGGCAGGCTTCATGATTTCAGCAAAAAGAAATTCAGTACCCGGACCGTGCTGCTTTGTGACCAAGTACGTTTCTGAATCATTAGTGTTATATAAACCATGGTTTACCTCAGCGAGTGCTGATATTAGTGCCCTTCCATGGTTTATGTACAGTGTAACACTGCTGTTTCTGTGTTCTGCTTCTTATAAGGCAGCAGTGACAGTTTGGTTTTGTAATATAAGTCATTCATGTGTCTTTTTTGATGACCAGTGTGGTAGAGAATATCATGTTGGTTGCCTCAAGGAACATAATATGGCTGATCTGACGGTGATATTTCTAACCTGAGACATCTGGCAGAGTTTGTACCCGAAAACTAGCACCATACTAATGATTAACTTGTGCAGGCATTGCCTGAGGGAGCATGGTATTGTTCTACGGACTGTGTGAGGATTAACCAGACACTGCAAGATTTACTTAACCGTGGAGGAGAACCTATTCCTACCATGGATTTAGATGTTATTAAGAAGAAACGAGAAGTGAAAGGTTTTAATGAGGATGCTGACCTTGATGTTAGATGGAGAGTTTTAAAGGACAAGAGCTCAGACGATAGTAAACTAGTGCTCTCCAAAGCAGTTGCCATTTTCCATGTGAGTTTCTGTTGCTTCATACTGGATGTTAATTTTTTATGACAGTTGCCCATTGATTCTTTGTCAAAACTTGGTAGAATTTTCAATAGGCTATGGTCAGGTTTTGTGGCTCATTATGAATAGATGACCATGGGCCAGGACAGTCCACACAGGCTGGCAGCAGTGGACCCAGCCAAACCCTGCCGTGTGTCAAGGTGGCTGCCAGGCCACTGCCCATGTCCACATCAAGTCTAGGGTTTTCCAGAGTCGGATTATTAGGAAGTGATCTGGTGAATCCCTCCTATCACCTAGCTCTCACTTGTCTCCCTGTTTGCTGTCCACGTGAGCAGTACCGGCCTCCCTGCTTTCTCTCTGCCTCGCTTCTGTTCTCGAGATCCTTGCCCATAACACCAGGATATTGTGAAATCTACATTATGTTATTAAGAAAAGAAAGGGAAACCATTATTATGCAGGATTGTGTGGAGCATATTTTTTTTATAAGATCAGTTGAAACATAGCGAAATCTTGTTTTGCACATTCCCAATGGGAGAATATCTGGTGCAAACTCTCGGTGGAATAGTGAAAACACACTCAAAATACATAGAAGTTTAAAAAATTTCTCCAAAACTCCATAGATGTAGATGAGATGGTAACATGCAACAGACATGTATATAAAATTTCAAGAATAAACTTCATGTTCATATATTGAGAGGACTTACATTCCACCAAGTAGGGGCTTTGCATTGAATATCTTCCTATTCACCATTTCATGAGTAGCTTTGCAGGACTGCCAGTTTATTTAAGCAATTAAGCTGCTATACAAATCAACAAGAAAAGTCTGACAGAATAAATCAGGCCCAACTTATAGAAGATGAAATGATTGCAGATTCTGCTTAGCGGGCATAATTTTTGTTTGTTTGTTTACAATACCTGAGATGCATCCTTTTATCTATCTAGTAATCAGTTTTATTGATTGTCACTTTAATGTACCATTGCACTTATCTGCAGGAAACTTTTGATCCCATTATCCAGGTTACAACTGGGCGGGACCTCATTCCAGCCATGGTTTATGGGTATGGACTAGTATCGGCCTCTTTTATTTCTGTCAGACAAATCAAAATTGTGGAAATTATATACTTTTGTTTCCAGGAGGAGTGCAAGGGATCAAGATTACACAGGAATGTATTGTGCTGTGTTAACTGTGAAGTAAGTTTTTGTCTCAGATTGTGTCTTGTTGAAAATTAATGATATTGTCAATCAATGTTTTTTTTTTGTTACACAGCTCTAATTTTAATATTTTTATGCAGCAATACTGTAGTTTCCGCGGGTCTTTTCCGCATCATGGGTAGTGAAATTGCTGAGCTACCGTTGGTTGCTACAAGTAGGGATAGCCAAGGCTTGGTAAGTTCGTCAAGCTATCGGATGTATTATGATTCAAGTTTTCATTGGATCATAAAGAATGAATATTTTGAGCATATGGAGTCTGAACTAAACAAGCTCAATGGATCATGCATATGTGCAATACATAGTTGCTCCGACACCACATACGATAAGGGACTGCAAACATGCTGTATCGTCTTCATAACTGCTTAACCCTTGGCTTAAAAAAAACTTGCTTAGCCTTCAAAGATGTTTTGGACTGGTAGATATATCATACTGGATGTTTTAGTTATTGGGATAGCGATTAGTAATTGGATTATTAATTTGAATGTAACTGCACAGTTGGGGCTTTCCTTGTTGCAAAGTCGTGTGCTGTTGCTGAGACAAGACCTGAGGTATAGCAACATTGATCTTTCTTTCCTTCTGTGAACTGAGCAGGGATATTTCCAAGCACTTTTTTCCAGCATAGAACGGCTGTTGGCATCTTTGGAGGTGAAACATTTTGTGCTACCAGCTGCAGAGGAAGCGGAGTCTATCTGGACAGAACGTTTTGGGTTCACAAAGATAAGCCAGGATGAGGTTTGTATATGTTCCTAGGTTCAACTTTCTAGCATGCCTGAGGACGATGAATTAACTTGAGGTTGTAATGATGTAAATATTGTTGAATGCTGCAGCTGCGCGAATACCTCAAGGGTGGCCGAACAACTGTGTTTCAGGGGACGTCAAACCTGCACAAGCTGGTCGCGAAACTTGAATGCTAGTTATGTGAGAATTGCATGGGAGGAGCAAGGACATGAAGCTAAGAAGCAGCTCATTGTTTGTGTGCCTCTTGGATTGACGCAGATAGGAAAGGGGCACCCTGATCCCGTTCTTCTAAATGTTTGTGAGCATGGTGGTATTGGCATCTTGGTCTGTTTCCATAGCTAAAGGTGAAGAAGATTGTGTAAGATATAAGGGACAAGCTGCAAAGGCAAAAGCCAAAGCTAAAGCTGAGTGAATTTCAGGCACCTTATTGGGTGGTCGTATGCGTGCTGTGGGACGCTGTGTTTGTTGAGTAGGTGTTAGCTCGGGCGGGAGTGAGATGGCGACTGCATTTGTGTTCTGTTGGTGGGATTTTCACTGCTGAGGTGACTGTTGTATCTTTCTGTTTGGCAGTGTGATACTAGGCTGTTAGGAGTGGGGTGGGGTGTGGAGGTTTCAAATTCAACGTACATCATGAACATGTGATTCCTCTTTATTGGTATGACTCACCCATGGATGTTAGTGTGGATGGAATGTAGACATGTAGTGCAGCAGTTGTAATGTAACAGAAGTATTGTTTTCCCCACCTATGTAACATATTTAATTTGCTGCGAATTCCATGAGGCTGGTGCAGCGTGGGCAGCGTTTGGTTGCTTGAATCAAACCGTGCATGTATAGGTGCATCTTGGATAACCATGTGGGGGCCCACATGTCCCACTGTTTGGTTAGCGGATTGAACGATTCTGTCCAAGTATGCCTGGAATATACCTTTGTAGATGCTGTATACTCGTGTACGCTGAAAAAGACACGACGCCGTTCAGGACGAGCCTCGCGCAGTCGCGCTCACACCTGCTGCGCTTGGTCGTCCTCCGCAGTCGGTGCTCCCAGAAGTTTCTAGTTTGATTTGATGGATTACTGCTGCCAGGTACATCTCCTACATTAGTACAGATCTCTTATCCTGCTTTTTATTTTCTTCAGGGTATGCGGCTCCTGAGAATAAAAAATCCTGTCTGTTTTTATTTCTAGAGAAAACATCCTGTCGGTTCGTATTCTTATATGATGTTAATTTGTTCAAACTTTAAAATATACAACATCATCTATATGTTGTTGCATTCATAATAGGAATTTTGTACAAATATGTGGTACATATGTAAAATGCTTGGATGGACCCATACAACCAACCAAATATGATCTTGTAGTGAATTGTCAAATATAATTGGTTGTGATGGATAACAAACTAGTTAGGGTTTGTTTGGCTGTGCTCGTATTCACCTCAGGCCTTGTTTGGATGTAGTCGGATTCGTATCAATCCATATGTGTTGAGGTAGATTAGAGCATAACTTAACTAAATTCTACCACAATTCACTCTAACACATATGGATTAAGGTGAATCCAATAACATCCAAACAAGGCCTCAATTTGCATTCAATTCATGTATGTTGAGGTGAGTTAGGGTGGAATTTAAACTTACACTTCATTAAACGTGGATTGAGGTGAATACGAGTACATCCAAATAAGCTGTTAGGTGTTTTAATATATGCATTTTTTTATGGAAATCTTCCGCATGCTGTTGTGCTCTATGATGTGGAGAACTTACGCAACTCATTTGAAAGTAGTTATTAAGAAATCTTCATACTTTTATGTTTTTATTAGTATGCTTAGCTCGTCGATGGCAGCAGGTGCTGCTGCTTCTTCCAAAAGTATAAACGGACGGAGCATGCTATCATCTTCTATCTTGTGCAATTATGCAAAATTTGAACTTGTGCAAGTAGAAACAAAAGGAGAATTATCCTTTAATAACTTCTCGTTTTTATACGAATCTTTCTGTAATAATATACTATTCATGTTTTCACGTGAATAGGCTTATAGGCCTGCCGATACTTTCAAAATCTAAAAGCTAAATTTACCCACAGAGTACGATTTGCGCAAAACATTTTTACACACACTACAATGGACTTAGAGCACGGAATTCAAAGTACAGTTATCCACTAATAGTGCAAGGCACCGCTGAGGTCCTGTCAGTGTTGATGTAGAACGAGATACCGGTTGCTTCCTGTAATCCGGAAACCAGGCTATACCTTACCATGATCAGGCCAACATTCTCTTATCAGATGGCTGAATGTCAATATGTCCACAGGGAACCATCCTAGGATGAATGCTCGAGTCAAGAATACTTGCAGAGGGCCACAATGCACGCTGAACAATGGTTCTTGCACTTTGTTCCTGAAGGTGAAGAATTACTGGATTTTATTTTATGAATTTTCAGGAAAGATCGTCTGAATGAATTTCAGGAAGCGCTCCGAGTAGAAATTGGGTTCCACGACAGATATTGACAATGAGTTATATTGGATGGACTTGTAAGCATGCTCAATCTTCTTCCTTATGTTGTACTCCTGCAAGATATCAATTATTCCCAGGTAGAGCACCACATCGTACACCTGATCATTGGCCTCACTGTCATTATCCTGAACCACCTGTTCTGCCCTCGCCGGCATGTTAACCCCAAGTTGGATCTGGAGCCTGATAAAATTGATAATTTCTTCTCAGCCTTACACTGCGCTGGCATTTAACATACAACAAATCATGGGAACATGCATATAATGACAGCATAACTCGCCTTGCGGTGCCTGGAAGCAAGAGATCTACTTCCTCGAAACTTGCACTTGATGATCGAAGACGGGCTCCCCTTATATGAGAACCGATGACAACATCATTTTGATCACTAGCTCGCTGAACCAAAACCAGTCCTTCAGGACTGTTCAAAGCCGCCGCCTCCAGAGCATCTATATTGCTTCATACAAATGTTAATAATAGGTAAAAGAAACATTACTGGAGGAAAAGGCTTTTGCAAAAAAAATAAAAATAAAAATAAAATATATATAGGGGTGCACATAGGATTAATTACATTACAAAGCAAAGTTACGAAGTCAGACTGTTTACATAGATAACATGGGTTTTGATGTTGAGTGGACTTGATGGCAAAAGGTTCCTCAATGTAGAGCATACTAAAAATTTCTGGGAGGACCCTAGGTGATAAAGGGCCCTTCCTGTACAGCTGTGTTTCTGTATCTATAAGATGGAGAAGATTGTACATGTCCAAATGTTTTATTGTGTTACATGGAATCAACACTACCAGCATGCTTTTCCAGGAAAACTCCAGAGCAATCATGTTGTTGTGGAAGACTAGAGGCATAGTGAGCCAGTCGTCAGCACAAGATCAAGCTCAGAGAGGGAAGAAATGAAGAGGTGATCGAGTGGTACAGCGGAAGTGAGGGGGTTATGTTTCCATAACACTACCGTGTCAGGAAAAAAGTTGTCATGTTCATGGGACAAACGGTAAAATGTACATGTAAAGATAGGCCAGCCAAACACCTAAATGCTACTAGCTACTACGTAGGCAACTAAAATAGCTAAGCACAAAGGTAAGGTATGTCCTAACACTCATGTATTAAGCATCTTACTGAGAAAAATATTAAGTACCTTCTTCCGAAAGAACAGCCAGCCTATCTGGTAGGATTGTTTGATGAAAGGATGCCTGTGTCCGTAGGCTTTGAGGAGCCCGAAAATGAACGCCAAGAAGCAAGCTATAATCCATTATTGCGTGATACTTTAGAAATTTGCTATCGGTCTCAATTTGCCTACAGATAAAAAGATGATTACACTAAAGGTCCAAACACTCCAATGAATACTGCCGCAATAGCATATAATTCTCAAGGTAGAATGCAAAGAAATAGTAGCAATTTTTTACAAACAAGGTACCAATACAGACAACAAATATGACTGCTCTAAAGAAATTAGAGATTTGGTTTCTTTTCCTTTCTAGTAGGAATTGTTTTCTCAGGATAAGTTGTAATCGTACAGCTTCACAATATAATATTGAAATTGTGGAGAAACTTTACATCAAATGACATTTTGGGTTAAGCAGTGTCAAAATTTATCACATAAACTTTTGGTAAGCGTAGCTGATAAAAAATGACAGCACTGGACATCTGTAGGTATGAACATGACATAGTTCAGCTAGCATCTCTGGAATACAAGTTTGCAAAATATTGTACAGTGACGGTGAAATTCCTAGCTACAAAGGATGTACCTACTGATAGAACAGTAACTACTTTGAGGTGCAATTTTCCTTCAATTGCGACACAAAATATTTATATAACAGGTACAAAGTCGTATTTGAATGAGAGAATCATAAAATAGCCCTTCATGGCTAGGTTAAAAGTTGCTAAAATGGTAAAGAACCCCAGTTAAATTGTGATACATAGCTCTCCTGGGTGTTCGAGAAAAGAAAAAAAAAGGTTAAAAGTTGCTTACGCAAGCAAAGTCTCCCGCCATGAAGGCTCGAGATAAAATGAATAGTTTAGATCCAAGTCTTTCAGTGTTGTATTCTCGTCGATTTTTACTTTGTCTGTTGAGCGGCCTAAGGATGAACCTTTCAAGTCAAACCTCCGGTGAATTCTAAGTTCAGTGCAAAACATGTTTCCCATCACTACAAATCGGAACTGCAAACACAAACAACAGCAGCATGCATTATTTTAGGATAAATGGCTACAATTTAAATCTGATCATAAACCGCTCTGACTGTTTAAGAAATGAAAATATGACACTAGATAATGAATGGTCACCAAAATGACCTTTACTGTTACTACCCATCGGGGATGTTAGCAAATCCAAAAGAAAGGAAACTTATCATATTATGAAAACACTTTTCGTTAAAATCTCATAGTCTTTGCATACACCAATGTTCAAAGGTTTTCTAAAACATACTTGTGTGAACAAATTGTAAAACTTCATTTCTCATGTATCAGGTGAAGTAGCAAGGATGCATGTGATAACCTTTTGACCACTGGACGGTTTAACCCTGTGGAGGCCAAAAAACTTAGTTATGAGTGTGTTCTCGTAGGTACGGACATGGTAATAATACTCTGGAAGCATTCGTAGAAGAACCTGCAAGAAATTTTAGACAGTTTAGAACTGGTATGAACTGTCAAACAATTTATCCATAAAAAAGTTCAAAAATATCACTCCATGACAACAAGTTGAGTAACAAAAAGGCCATACTACATTTTGTCATGAAACAAGTTGAGCACCAGGGCCAAATAAGCTAAAAGTTCTAGATCATTGAATATATCCAACTTTTTATCAATAGTAGGAATTTGGTAGAAGATGGAACCATGGTCTATATGCCTGGTCCCATTTCTGTTTACCAAAACCATATGATCCATGCAATTTACTGACTCATATAATCTAATAGGATATATTTTCCAAAACATATTAATAGGATATAAAGGTATAGCTTGGGATAAGAAAATTTGGCAGGAGGCATTGCCGCATAGAAAACTTCTAAAACCATTAAATAGATATGAAAACCTGCACTTCAGACTTCCGTAGAGTCTTGATCATAAATCGATCATCCTGAGATAGGAAGAAGACACTTCCACTCTTTCCAGGAGAAGATAGCTCCCTAAGTGCATCACTTCCACAAATTGAAATCATATAATCCGCTGCATCAATCTTGAACATCTCCCTCAAATTTCTACACAGATACACAAGTAGATCTTATTAAGTTCTGAAATACAAAGCAGTACAGTTAGAGTCACTTATCAGGTGCCCAAACAAGGAAAAATTCTCATTGTTATGGTCCTAACAAAGTTACTTCAATTGTTTTTCTAAGCAAAACACTATATTGTTTATGATCACTATAAGTTATTCTCATATAATCTGTAGAGCCCTCATGTTCTTTTCACTGAATTTGCTTAGGTTCACAACCTTGATAATGGGATACCACACAACAAACCTGAACACCATTGGGCAGTAGTCTTTCCATTTAAAATTATCAGCATGATGTGAAGGAGTAAGCCGTGATCCATTTTTGGGGAAGTTCATCCAGAAACTTGCTCTGGGACCATAATCAGAAGCTCGCACTTCACGTCTCTGAATAGGTGTAATCTTTCCAACTGTATACCTGAGTATAAATGTATAATCACATTAAAACCTTCAGTGGTCACAAAATCATTCAGTTGGATATTTCAAAAAGACAATGCCCTGTTGATAATAGATATATTAGAACATTCTGATACATTTTCTATGCCATCGAGAAACAAACTCCAGAATGTCAATAACAGTTTCTGTAGAAAAAAGGAATGTCAATAACAGTGAAATTCTGTAAGACTTGGAGCTTCCCTTAGTGCTTTAATTGCCCTTACTATAGCCAACTATACGGTTAACCATCATTCCAATTCTCTATTATGAACTCCATCTAAAAAATCACATTTTGAACAGCACTGCACTTCAAGAATTACAGAAATATATTGCTCTTCTGCTTTTTTTCTCAAACACACAGGAGATCTGTGTTATCATTTCCTTAAGAAGGATGGGAAAGTACATAGGGGAGGAAGAAAAGAACTCTCCACCTCCAAGGCTCCAACACTCCCAAGGGCCAAGACACACAATGACACAACCAACACACCCAGAACCAGACTATCAGGCAGCAAACAAAGAAGGGGACCAGAAAAGATTACGAAAAAGAACAGAGGATCAAATGTCCACTGTGAGCAACCTTACAAGGAACTCCTGGAGATCTTTAGCTCCAGACGAGCACCACAAATGCACTCATTTGTCACGGTTTGCATCACCGTCATGACACTTGGCTTGCTCTTCCACTACATTCTGTCATGCAAACATGAACAAGATAATTGACACTGTTTTGTATTATGCAACACTTGCTTTGTTAAAGTTTATGATAAAAATGTCTGAAGCCATAACTTCTGATCAACTATCAAGTTTGCATTCCATATGTAAACCTCTCACTCCAGCACTGCTAATCTTAAGTAAAAGTTATGGGTTTACAGACTACCTGATAGAGAGTTAAGCCAACAGGCTTTTGGATGATTGATAGATAGATTGCAGAGTGTTTACATATATAGGGATTACAGGAGGGTGGCCCAAGGGGCCAGCCGAGTGTGAAGGGGCCTGTCCAGCCAAGCAGGCGGCACAGGAAGCTAGGGGATTACATAAAGGAGTAATTAATTCTAACACCCCCCCGCAGTCGGAACGTCGATGGAACGAACATTCAGACTGGAGCGAAATTCTGTGAAGACAGAGGAGGGGAGCCCCTTGGTGAAGACATCTGCGTACTGCGACGTTGTAGGAACGTGGAGGACGCGGACAGCTCCAAGGGCGACCCGTTCACGGACAAAGTGAAGGTCGATTTCCACGTGCTTGGTGCGTTGATGCTGAACGGGGTTGGTGGAGAGGTAGACGGCGCTGACATTGTCGCAGTAGACGAGGGAGGCAGTCTTCAGGGGGTGGTGCAGCTCCTGGAGAAGTTGCTGCAGCCATGAGACTTCGGCGACACCGTTGGCAACAGCACGGTACTCTGCTTCGGCACTCGACCGAGAGACAGTGGGTTGCCTTTTGGACGACCAGGAGATGAGGCTGCCACCGAGGAAGACAGCGTAACCAGAGGTGGAGCGGCGAGTGTCCGGGCAGCCGGCCCAGTCAGCATCAGTGTAGACGACAAGCTGAGTTGGAGCAGACCGGGGGATGATCAGGCCATAGCTGATGGTGCCCTGAAGGTAGCGAAGGATCCGCTTGGCAGCAGTCAGGTGAGTCTCGCGAGGATCATGCATGTGAAGGCAGATTTGCTGGACGGCATATGCAATGTCAGGGCGAGTGAACGTCAAGTACTGGAGGGCACCTGTAAGACTGCGGTAGGCAGTGGGATCATCCACAGGAGGGCCAGCATCTGCGGAGACCTTGGCACAAGTGTCAACGGGGGTAGAGCAGGGATTGCAGCCACTCATACCATGGCGTTCCAGAATGTCCAGGGTGTATTGCCGCTGTGAGAGGATGAGAGTGTCCCTGTGTCGCTGAACTGCCACGCCGAGGAAGTGATGCAAGGGACCAAGGTCTTTCATGGCAAACGCCTTCTTCAGGGCAGCAATCACACGGAGGAGGAGCTGCTGAGAGGAGGCAGTGAGGACGATGTCATCCACATACAGGAGCAGGTATACTGTCTCGGCGCCGCGTCGGTGTATGAATAGGGAGGTGTCTGACTTTGCTTCAGTGAAACCCAAACTGAGCAGATAAGTAGCAAATCTGCTGTACCACGCACGGGGCGCCTGCTTCAGCCCGTAGAGGGACTTGTTGAGCTTACAGACATGTTCTGGGAAAGCAGGGTCAGCGAACCCGGTGGGCTGAGAGCAGTAGACGGTTTCTGACAAAGTCCCATGGAGGAAAGCATTCTTCACGTCGAGTTGATGAATGGGCCAATCCCGAGAGTGTGCCAAGGTGAGAACGGTACGAACTGTGGCTGGTTTGACGACAGGGCTGAAAGTCTCGTCGTAATCAACACCGGGGCGCTGTGTAAATCCGCGAAGGACCCAACGAGCCTTGTATCTGTCCAAGGAGCCATCAGCATGAAACTTGTGTTTGAAAATCCATTTTCCAGTGACCACATTTGCCTTGGCCGGACGAGGAACAAGGTCCCACGTGTGGTTGTCCAGGAGAGCAGCATGTTCTTCTTCCATGGCACAACGCCAGTGCGGATTGGCAAGAGCGTCGCGACAGGACCGCGGTACTGGTGACAGGGCCTCAGTATGTAAGGCGAGACGAGGCTGCCGATACCCGGACTTCCCGCGGGTCGCCATGCCATGAGAGTTGGCGACCGGAGGGATGGGGACAGCCGTTGTCGGAACCGGAGGGCCGTGCTTGACATAGCGCGGCGGGGAGGGAACAATCTTTGAGCGTCGAGAGGGCCTCCAGCGGGCGCAGCGTGGATGAGCCGAAGCGGGAGGCGCTGGAGTACACGTGAGTGACGGAGGCTTCTTTGAAGTAGGGAGCCGGGGCGCCGGGTGCTACGGGTTCGGCACGACATGGTGCTCGAGGGTACAAGCAGAACCGAGGGCGCTGGACAGAGGAGCCGGGCACTGGGTTGCCGCGGGCGCCTTAAGTCTTGAAAAGCGCCGGGATCGGGCGTCGCGATCCGATCCACCGGGGGCGAGCAGCAGCGGCGAGAGGACGGGGAAGCCTGGTGGAGGCGATCGACGCCGGGCCGCCCAGATCCAACCAACGGGTGGCTGGCGATGGCGATGTCTCAGGAGCGAGCATGTGAAGTGGATGCTGCACAATGCAAGCAGACCAGACCAGGTACTCAGAGGTAAAGGAAAAACTGGTAGGGGGTCATCGTTAGTTAGAAAATCAAGGTCCTGTGGAGGAGGTGAGGATCGGCGAAGGGAGAACGGAAAAGTTGTTTCATCGAAAACAACATGCCGGGAAACGATGACCCGGTTGGTGGCGAGATCGAGGCACCTGTAGCCCTTGTGATCAGGCGAGTAGCCGATGAACACACATAGAGCGGAGCGTGGAGCAAGTTTGTGGGGTGTTGTGGCGGTGAGATTGAGATAACAGGTGCACCCGAAAGCTCGTAGGTTATGGTACGAGGGGTGGGTGCCATAGAGCGCAAAGAAGGGAGTGCTCATGTGCAGCGTCTTGGTAGGGAGTCGATTCAGGAGGAGAGTAGCAATGGCAAGGGCATCACCAAAGAGGGAAGGTGGCATGGAAGCTCCCGAAAGAGGAGGGTTCGGGTGACATTGTTAGTGGTGCGAATCATGCGCTCGGCTTTCCCATTTTGTTGAGATGTATAGGACGGGACATACGAAGAGAAACGCCGCTGGCAAGAAAGAATGCACGGAGGCGGAGTTGTCAAACTCACGGCCGTTGTCACACTGCATTGTTTTGATGGTGCAGCCGAAGTTCTTACATGAGCAAAAAAGTTGGAAATAGTAGGAAAAGTGTCAGACTTGAACCGAAGTGGAAAGGTCCAAAGGAAATGAGAGCAGTCATCGAGGATAACAAGGTAATATTTGAAACCGGATACACTGGTAATAGGTGATGTCCACAAATCACAATGCACCAAATCAAAATTCTGAGCTGCTCTAGAAGAGGAACTAGTAAAAGGTAAACGAGCATGGCGTCCAAGTTGACACGCATGGCAGAGGGAGTCGTCGTCAGGCTTGCTGTAGATGATGGAAGAGGACTGAGCAAGACTCTGAAGAGCAGCCTTGCCAGGGTGACCGAGACGGCGATGCCAGGTAGTCTGGGAGGGAGTAGTCACTAGTGCGCAGGGACCGGAGGAGGACGCAGGCAGCTGCAAGGTGTAGAGAGGTCCCTGGCTGTTACATCGAAGGAGGGTGTTCTTGGAATGCAGATCCTTCACAGAAACACCAAGAGGGTCAAATTCAATCAAATGTAATTGTCGGGCCAGAACTTGAACGGAAAGCGGTTTTTAATAATATTAGGAGCTATAAGGACATTATTGAGGCGAAAACGGGCGTGAAGGATGGAGAAACCAAGTGCCAACGATCGGAGAGAGTGCGCGCTGCTGCCAACAACAATGGAGGATGGAAAGAAAGAAGATGGCGAAGCTGTGACCATACCAGAGTTGGAGGCAATGTGAGAGGAAGCACCGAGTCAATAACCCACCCAGAGGAGCCCGATGGCGAGTCGTGGAGACGGTCTTTGAAGGCGTTGGCGAGGGACTCAGTAGTCCATGGCGACCAAGTAGGAGAGGGCGCCTGCTGGGGTGCCTGGTAGTATGCCCCGGGGTTTGGCGGTGGAGTGAAGTAACCCGGGGGCACACCAGCCACTAGGGCTTGCTGCGGTGATGGAGGCGGGACGGTGCGAGGCGGTGGACCGCGAGGACCGCCAGGAGTGGACCCAGGCCACATATGGATGGACCCGGTCCATGGGTTGAACATGGAAGGCCACTGCTGACCGCTTTGAGTGCCGCTGGCCACTGGGTGTTGCCGGTTGCTTGGTGAGAGCCGCCACAATGCACCGCTTTATGCCGCGCGTCGCCGCATGGCGACGTCGACCGCGACCGTTCCCGTGGCCAGACAGCTGCCCCCCGGTAGTCTGATGAGGACGCGGAGGAGCAGAGGGCGGGGGAGTAGCGGGCTGCTTGCCGGACGATGAGGCGACGAGGGCTGATGGCGGTGCTGAAGGTGGCGCCATGTTGAGTTCAGCAAGGCGGAGATCAGCACGGACGTCAGTGAAGGAGGGGAATGGCCTCTGTCGAGTGATGAGCTGCGACATGAACTGGAATCGTTCATTGAGTCCGCGCAGGACGTTCAGCACCAGCGTGCGGTCGAGAACGGGCTCGCCAAGGTCGGCAAGCGCATCTGCCATACTCTTCATCTTGCGGCGGTATTCGTCGATGGAGAGGGCGCCCTGGCAGAGGGTGCGGAACTCGGCATCGAGGAGCATGGCGCGTGATTCGCGGTTGTTGAAGAATTGTTGTTCGAGGCCGAGCCATGCTGCCCGAGCAGTGAGGCCGTCACGCTCGTGAACGACGTCGAGGAGGTCGGGGGAGATGGTGTTGAAGATCCATGAGACGACGACGCAGTCCATGCGAGACCACGCCGCATCACAGGGGCGAGGAACGTCGCTGAGGACATGGTCCTTCAGGGCGTAGCGGCCGAGGACGAGAAGGACGTAGCCACGCCATTTGGAGTAGTTAGAGGACTGCAGATCAAGGACGATGGGGATCAAATTCTTGATGTTCTCGCGCGGCGGCGGCACTGGCTATGAAGGTGGCGCGATGGCGCGGCCTCGAGGTGACGGAGCGCGCGGTCGTCATCTTTCAAGGTGTCGTCGCGGAGGGACTCTGGGTCTGGCTTGGTCGCGGAGAGGCGAGGCTGTCGCTCGTCGCCCAGTATCGCTACTGCGCAAGCCCGTGTCGAGTCGAGAGCAAGCGGCGCGCGGACGCTGCGTCTGGCGGCGGCGGCAGACTTGAGAAGGTCCGCCTCTCTCTTGAAGGAGCCGATCGCGCTTCGGCGTTGGAGGACTGCAGAGAGCGGCCTCGTCTTCTAGTTTCTTAAGCGCGGCGATGGCTTCATCGCGAAGTTTGCCGCTTATGGCGGCAATAAAAAGCCAGAGCTGGAGGAATCGCCGGCAGCCATGGGCGGCAGCAGACGGGTCGCGCGTGGTGGCCGACGAAGAAGCGCGGCGGCCCGCCGAAGAAGCGCGACGCTGCCGCTGCCGCTGCTGGCAAGGCGCGGGGTCGTCGAGAGAGCGTAGTGCGCGGCCGTGAAGGCGCTACAAGACGAAGAGGCGCGACGCAGGCGCTGGCGGCGCCGAGCGCCGCGCGTGCCGTGAAAAAGCGAAGCGGGGAACGGCACATGACCAGATTAGTCGTCTGATACCATGATAGAGAGTTAAGCCAACAGGCTTTTGGATGATTGATAGATAGATTGCAGAGTGTTTACATATATAGGGATTACAGGAGGGTGGCCCAAGGGGCCAGCCGAGTGTGAAGGGGCCTGTCCAGCCAAGTAGGCGGCACAGGAAGCTAGAGGATTACATAAAGGAGTAATTAATTCTAACACTACCCAATGGAAAGACTTAGTTCTCCAGCAGAAAGTCGTTACCTAACCTGTCAGTTATGCTCTACAATTACTTTTAGATGACAGATACTAATTTGTGCAAGGTAGAGGCATCCTTAGCATTTTGTTGACACTGCAAAGACAAATTATTCATAACTATTTTGGTAAATGGAGGTATATACATGCAGTTCATGCACAGTAGGTGGCTTATGATATACATTCTGGAACCCTGCATATGGGTTAATACTATTTCAAGCATTTAACAACATATAATGGAGAACAATGATAAGGAGTGAAATAGAAAGTGAAGACATTCAAATATCAGTTCTCTTGGTGTCTCATTGTATGCATTACCTGATTCCAAGCTGCAGACTGAGCATCAGATCATAACTTCTATGTCCTTTAATTATTGTCTGCCCAGGTTTCTTTATATCCTTCACCAATTTCTTCGGGCGGCGTGATACCTTTTTTAATGGATCTGAGAAGCTTCTATCCACCACAACCTCACTGATGAGAACACCTTGCATATATTCCCGTTCCAGTATAGGAAGGTTGGAATCAGCCTTATTTTCACAGCTTTCAATTGCAGAACTTTCATTTGTTTCACAACCAATGAATTTTTCAATGGCTGCTCCAAGGCTCCACCTTCTTTCCAGTGATACATTTCTCGAGCGAGTTTTCCCAAAACTCAAGCTTCTAACAGATGAAATACCTACAGAGTCCTGATTTTTGCTAGCCATCATGTCTGCCATGTCAAATGAGGCGGAGTGAAGGATACGAGAACCATGAATCTGACTTTCAGCACCAGGCAGTACACCTCTCTTTCTTAAACCGTCGATGTATAGCTCATCGGGAACTGGAATTCCATGACATTTTGGATAGAATGTGCCTTTTCCATCCTTCAACCCCCTTGTCCAGGTTCCAACATAGTAGCCAGAGTCCTTCCATGTGTAGACTCCATACCCATGCATGACACCATCTAACCAGTTCCCTTCAAATGAATCTCCATTGTTCCATGTGAGGATTCCTTTGCCTGACATGACCCCATTTTTCATGGTGCCAACATAAGTGTTGCCATCTGCCCAGGTATAGGTGCCATGCCCTTGTATTTCTCCATGCACCCAAGAACCTTCAAAAATGTCTCCGTTGGGATATGTCTGTAAACCAAGGCCATGCTTAAGATTCAGCTTCCAGCCTCCCTTGTAAGTGGAGTTGTTTAGCCCAGTATACGTTCCTTGACCATAAATGTAGCCACCGGAGTAGTCACCTGTGTAGGTGGCCCCTGTCGGCCACAGCGTCTTGCCTTGCCCATGCCTGAGGCCTCTCCTCCAGTCACCCTCATAAACACAACCATCGGACCAGATATAACAACCTGAGCCATGTGGCGTGTTGCCCGATAATGCGCCACGATAAATATCCCCATTGGGCAGTATAAACTCTCCATCTCTAGAGTCAGAGTTTGTTTGAGAAGCATCTGAATGTTGAGCAAGCTGCAAGGAGCCCTTGTGAAGATTGTAAGGAGGCTGGGTTGTTCCAGGAAGTAAGATACCAGCATCTTGAAGCTCATCATGGAGAAGAGCCGCAGGGGTGGCCATGCATACAGCTCACAGCTCAGCAGGGGCTGCGGCAAGAAGATAGATGCTAGAACAGGCTGCACAAAATGATGAAAGTAAGGGATTAGATGAGTTGCAGTTGCAAGTGGTGGAAGAAAACAAAGTCGGCGAGATCTGCTTGGATCTTGGCAGGGAGGGCAGGAAGACAGGTTACTACCCTTTTGTAATGAATCGCCTACTGAAAAGTGGTGAGCATAGTAATAATAAAGAGAAAAAGTGATCTGAATCCGATCCCCGTCCCCGTGCCGGAGATTGCGAAAAGTAAACGCAGCAGCATGATGATGAAAAACAAAATTGAAACTGAACACCCTGCCTGCGTATTCTATTGAATTGATTTGACTTGAAGCAACGAGAATGAGATGAGCAGCAAACCCAAATAATTAGTTAATTAACTACTCAGGTAATGGATTTGAACGGAGCTGGCTGGATACAAGGGGGCGGGGCAGGGCTAGGAAGGAGTGGCTCTCGTCTCCTAGCAAGGAAGGCCAAGCTAATAGAGGAATCCATATTATCCATCCCCGGGTCTTGGTTGCCTCACCTCCGGGCTCCGTCTCCGATCCGGCTGCTGGCTGCCGGCTGCCTAGCCGTCGTGGTGGTTTCTTCCGCCTCGGCCCTTCCATTGGCGAGTGCGGGTGGGTCGGCCAGGCGAGTCGTCGGCGACGGCAGAGCGGCTGGCTAAGCGCCTGAGCTGGAGAGGGACACGGGGGAGTGTCGGTTGAGGTTTGGGCTGGACTGGACTGGGCCTTTTTTCTTCCCTCCCTTCTCCATGGGAAAGCTGGTTTGGGCTGGCCGGGCTGTAATTTAATTAATATAATTTATATTTATTAATAAGAACAAAGTAAAACAACAATCTACGTACGATACGTTCTCATCATATATATATGCTAATAATTTTGGATCTGATGGAGTATTCTTCTATCTCTCTCTCTCTCTCTCTCATACATGAGAAAAAAAATGAAATTACAAACTTTTGAAAAAAAAAATCCATGAACGAATAAAGATGTATGGCATGTGTATATGTATTCCGTATGAAAATTAAAATGATGACTATGACCACGCGATCGACTATGATAATAAAAGTATATACAGAGAGAGATAATTTTGGTGAATGAAGAAGGAAAGGGAGAAAAAAGGATGCATGCATGCCCTTCTGGGTTCGTGCGTGGTACCGTACCTCCGCCGCCGATTGACTGATAATGGATCGCCGGCCGGCCGGCCGGACAGTAGCAGCTGCTGGTACTCGATCTCTCTCTAGCTCATGCACCGGAACCGTGATGAGATATATAGATGGTCGATCGGATCGGATCGGATCGGAGCGGAGCGGAGCTAGCTTACAGTAACAGCAGCAGCAGCAGCAGCAGCTTCCGATCGATCCATCCAACACCATTCATGCATGTACAGGTAGCTAGCTTGCTACTGCTAGCTATATATATAGTACTAGTACATATACTCGGATACTCCTACATGCATGCATGTATATATTAAACAAATATATGTATGCTTGTGCTGTTAGCTAATGCGCGCTAGCTAGCTGGTAACAGCTTTTTTCTTTTCTTTTCTTTTTATTTACAATGAATACTTCACGTACGCCCCTTACCTTTATTGTCGTTTTTCTGCTTTACTCAATCCATCCCAAATTATAAGATGTTTGACTTTTTTGACACTAAGTTTGACCACTCGTCTTATTCAAAAATTTATGTAAAATATCACTTCTTTCGTCGTGGTTTGGTTTATTAATAAAAATTCTTCAAGAATGATTTAAATTTGACTATATTTGCACAAATTTTTTGAATAAGACGAGAGGTCAAACTTAAGGCAAAAAAGTCAAACGTCTTACAATTTAGGATGGAGTAGTACTATCTTTTCTGGATACATATGATCAAGATCAAATAAATATTTCTTCCACTCACAAATATATGCTTTACGCTTAACAATATAGGCCCTGTTCGCGTGCCCTTATACTCGGTTTGATCCGTTTATTTTTTCATCCGGAACATTGTTTTTCTCTCACAAATTCCTCCAGCATTCCTCCAAACCATCCAGATTCCTCCAAAATTCAGACAAGCGAACAGGCCCATAACCAGACTTTAGAACCTCTGATGACTAGCTGTGGCCTTGTTTAAGAGAGCTTCTAGCAGCCTTTGCTTCTCTAGAAATTAAAGCTCCAAAAACTAGAATTAAGCTCCCAAACAGGGTAGCTTTTTCAAGTTAACAAAAGCTACATTTTATACTAAAAGCAGAGAAGTAGCTTCCCGAGCAAAGCTTCTTCATGAGGTGCTCTTAGAAAAGCTACACCTTACTATCACCACCTCTTAACTATTTAGTTTGAAAACGTTAAATTTACATGCATTTGCATATTTTTATTATTTGTCTTCAAGGACCATTATATTATGTGTGTAATTTCACATATTTGTTGGATTTTATAATAAATATAACGCATTATATATAATAATACAAAGCATTTCATAAGTTGAAGGTTAAAATCCATTTTGTATAATTTTTCCAATCAAAATACACGTTACATTTTAGATAGGACATGCATGAGACAGAACATGGGGAATGTATTAGTTAATTAGGTAGTTATAAAATATATACAAGCATGCTTTGGGTATGCACCGATACCCCGGTACCTTTGAAAAAGAGTCACCGAGCGATGGAAATTGCTGCCCGCCACCAGATCGATGGCTTTCCATCAAATCAAATTAAACAAATACATGCATCCACCGTACCCCAGCAGCCATTATATTTGTCAAATAAAGTGTGGCTAGCTCCATGTGAATAACTAAAAGTCGTCTTTAGTGATGAAAAGTTGATTTTGACACTAAGATCGACTACAACAATTTAAAGAGCTATCTACCACCAACACCCCCATAGCAAAGACGACATATAGCTAGTGGGGAAATAAGATACCTCTTCAACCGCAAATAAAATGGAGGCCGGAGAGAACATCCGCTTACTGTTCACATGGCCCACCCGATCCCTCCACGTATCTCCGAATGCCGTGTGTCCTGCACGTCCGTTCTTCTCGTGTTATTAGAAAAGAAAAATCTCCTCCCCGTCACAAACTGTTAATTAAAGTAAATAAAAAAAGGAAATAAATAACGCCCCTCGCCGCCTCTGCAGGAACACACCGCACCTCGCCGCCTCCGCTTCCGCTCACACCTCGCGTGCTGGCAGGTACACGCGCGGATCATCAGATCGATTCATCGCCTCTTCCTCTTCCTCTTCCCCTTCCCCGGCCTTCATCTTCCCCTTCCCCGGCCGCGTGAAAGCCCTACTTTAATTTTGAATAATTGATGAAACCTAGTACTAACCTTTGTCATGAGTTCTGATATAAGCTAGGTTGGTGCAATCCTAGTATGGAGCATGGTGGTACTTAAGAGATGCTGATATTGATCACAAGAAATGATGAGTTGGCCATATGTGATGGTGATCAAGTGCTCAACTTGGAAAAGAAGAAAGAGAAAAACAAAATCCTTTGGAGATCAAGGCAAAGGTATAATTAAAGATTTTATTTTAATGATCAAGACACTATAGAGAGTGTGACCACGTTTAAGGTAGATGACTGTACTATTAAGAGGGGTTCTTAACTAGATAATTCGGTCATCTAGTGCCACTAGGTGTTGGACTTCATGCATTGCATTTAGGCCTAGTGCACATCGGAGAGTAAGCGAAAATATTTATCGAAAATGTTTTGAGAAATGTTAACTTGGCTCTAACATGTTTTGAGAAAATACTTTGAGAGTTAGCATCGCTTGCGGGGAGTAGCTCGAGTTGACGTGGATCGAAACGCGACAAAGTTTGCAACTCGGAGAGCTAGTGATGGTGCCTGGGTGGCACCGCCACCCCTTGTCCGGTGCACCGTCACCCTTGTGGCGGTGCCCACCAGGACCTGACAGAGAAGGGCCGTTGTGAGGTGGTCAGCGGACATAGATGTGTTCACCGCCATGGGCATGGCGGTGCACCGTCACTGCCTGTCCGATGCCACCGCCCTGTTTCACCTGAGGGCAGCAAGTTGGATTTATAGCCGAGGGGGGCACCGCCAAGGTCACCGCCATGGGTGTGGCGGTGCACCGCCCTAATTATCCAGAGAGGAGTGTTTTTGGGGCTCGGCCAAGGTGGCATCTGAAAGGTCCTAATATGACTAGAGGGGGGGATGAATAGCATATTTAAAAATCTACAAACCAACTAGAGCAATTTGATTAGTATGACAAATAGCGAAATGCAAACTTACTCTAGCTCTACGAGGGTTGCAAGCCACCTATCCAAAAATTATAGTTACTATGATCACTATACACACAATTTTCCTAAGTCACTACTCACTAAGAGCTCTCGCACTTGCTACACTAAAGAGCTCCACTATATGAACTGCTACAACTAGTTTGCGAGAATGTAAATGAGTGAGTAAGGTGATTATACCACTGCGTAGAGGAGTGAACCAATCACAAGAAGAATATCAATTCAATCACCGGGAGAATACCAAAGGGCAAGAGACAATCAATTTTTCTCCTGAGGTTCACGTGCTTGCCGGCACGCTAGTCCCCGTTGTGTTGACCAACACTTGGTGGTTCGATGACTAAGAGGTGTTGCACGAACCTCGTCCACACAATTGGACACCGCAAGAATCTACCCTCAAGTGAGGTAACTCAATGACACGAGCAATCCACTAGAGTTACCTTTCGGCGCTTCGCCGAGGAAGGTACAAGACCCCTCACAATCACCGCGATCGAGCTGAAGACAATCACCAACCTTCGCTCAACGATCCTTGTTGCTCCAAGTCATCTAGGTGGCGGCAACCACCAAGAGTAACAAGTGAATCCCGCAGCGAAACACGAACACCAAGTGCCTCTAGATGCAATCACTCAAGCAATGCACTTGGATTCTCTCTCAATCTTACAAAGATGATGAATCAATAATGGAGATGAATGGGAGAGTTTTGGCTAAGCTCACAAGGTTGTTATGTCAATGAAAATGATCAAGAG